AACTCGATAAGCATAGGTTTCACTTTTTTCCCTTTTGGAAACCATTTGAGTAGACGTAGCACCCTTTTGACGGTTGCGTGAGGAGGAGTGCCCCATAGCTTACGGAAGGACGTGATTTGGTGCCGGATTTGCGCTTCCCTCCGCTTTGCGATCCGACAGAAAGGCTTAGCTAAACCCTTGATTATTACATTCCTATACCTCCCGAGAGTGATGTACGTGCTCGCCTCTAGGGTTTTCATGCTGCTGCAATTCAATAAAGCTAACTTGGTCACTTTGGCACGCTGAGTGGCTTGGTTGGTTAGGGAGTCGATGATCGTCTTCAGTTGACGTGTCATGTCATCCCTAAGACCTTTCAGCTCCCGGCGTTCGATGGTGGACTGAATGTCCGTCCTTTCTATCAGTATGTCTCTGTTTGAGGCAGAGGTCAGCCCGGTGGTTTTCTGCGGTGTGCTACCGGCACCCGACTTTGGTGGTGCTAGTACATGAACATTCGATTTGGGTGGGGCACCGGGCCTGGCAGCCTTTGCTTTGCGCACGCATAGCAGACCCATTTTAGGCATTTTTGCTCGGTATCAAGCCGGTAGGCCTTGATAGGGAGTTCGTCGCACTTGTTGTTATACTAGGTATCACAAAAGTCGTAGCAGATATCCTCGCTTACGATAGCCAGGCAATCTGATTTCCCACAGGGAAATACCCTAGCCTCAGTTTTAGGGCTAGCCATTGCGGCTAGAGAGCATTTTTACTCACGGATCTCCCGGTTATCAGTAAATAACCTGCTGCGTCCTGGTGGTAGATTATGGGGATTTCCCGAGATTTAAAGAGCCTTCAGGTAACGGATTATAGCTTGAGATTAATCTGATAGCAAACGAGAAAGGTTTAAACCGGAAAAAGGGAGACAGGTGCATGCGCTGGCTGGGAACACCAACCACAAACCAGAAGTAAACATGGACGATGGACTCATCGAGTTTTCCTCACAGAAGGCAACCACTAACTCCTAGGCTCAACTTCCTGGCACCCTGAGCTGACCCTAAGGAGAGTACGAGTCAGGTTGAGCTAGAACTAGATTCACCGTGGGATTATTTGTGGGCCTTTCAGAAGACTTCCTTGAGTTACGCCACACCCTCCGAAAATTGATATACCGAAAGCAGGTCAAAGTCATGTTCAGTTTGCACAAGACAGAAAATGGCCACGGCCAATCGAGCGTCTAGATTCCTTCGGTGGTATGCGGTTAAGTATGACACCCACCACTGCGACAAGTTGTCCGTAACTTCCTAGTTGAAAAGATAAAGAAAAGGGAAAGATACGTCATTTCACCTCAGAGGCGAGTGATTGTTATACGTGAACGTTCATCTTCCAGGCTGTATTCCGATAAACAGCGGAATAGAAACATGCAGAACGAAAACATAAAACTTGAGTTTCCCGCTCCTACTTCTCTAGTTTTCCTAAGTCGGTAGATGGATGGTCAGACCTCCATTTCAGAGACGAGTTGAAACCAACATTCATCTAGGGCCGTCCGTTCAGTTCAGTTCAGGTCAGGTCAAGTCAGGTTGCACTAGACTGAATACAGCTACGGCCAATTGAGCGTTCAGAATTTTTTCGATATTATGCTCAGTACGTGGGCACCTAGTTATGCTGAAATAAGAATAAGAAATAGTTTCTTATCTCACCGAGTTGTCGAGTTAATTGTTGGACGTGAGCGTGTAGTGCCTTACGGAAAACAAAATTTAATCCGCGAAGAACCTCATCCATGAAATCTTGAAACGTCTGTGCAGCATTGCCTGATCCGAACGGCATTCAAAGGAACTCGGAAAGACCAAACGAGGCGATGATGGCAGTCTTAGGCACATCCACCGGGTCAGCAGGTATTTGGTTACGAGTCCTAACCAAATCAATCTTACTAAAGATCGACTTACGCTTGAGACTAACTGTTAAATCATGGATGTGTGGGATCGGATATGGTGGAACTATTGAGTCTACAGTAATCCCCGAACCGGTGCCATTCCCTTGCGGCCTGCGTAGACACCGTGTGGAGTGGCAAGGCCCATTGGATTGGTGAAGGGCGTATTATACCGTCAAACTCTCGTTTGTCTAATGCCAACTTATCCGGAGCTAAACGACGTGTACGGCAATGTACAGGTGGGTTACGTGTGACGATGGTATGGGTAACCGGTGAGGTGACCGGTGGCAAAATTGTAGAAATTCGTTCAGAACAACCTTCTTACAAGATTTACAACCCGAAATGTACACCGTTGTTTAAGACAGAGCTTATTGCCACAGCGTAAGTTGCTAAACCGTTGAAAGAGTTGGTGCTGTCGAGGAGAAGACGTTTGTCTGTGTTGACAGTTGGGCCGTGATGTGCTAGAAAACCCATTCCAAGAATCCGAGAGGAGACTTCAGTAATCAAGAATAACCACTCACCTGCTTTAGGTAGGTTAAAATACACAGTGAGATACCTGGTACCAAATGTACTTATTGCACAACCGTTATCCGCAGTAATGGTCAGAGATGGAGCTGGGAGGAGGAATGAGGCTCACCTCCGCACCGGTGTCCATTAAAAAGTACACACCACTAATGGAGTCCCTAACGTGGAAAAGTCGGCTCCTAGCTCGTGTGCCAACGGATGACACCATAATCAATCGTCGGCTTAGTCTTTACCCGAAACGGGTTGACCTTTCCACGAGCACAGGTGGGTGTATTTGGCACCATCTTTACCAGAATGTGCGTGATACTAACAATACTCTTGACTATTGTTTGGCGATTTAGATAGACGGTGATTGCTTAAGTGTTGTGTTGCACTAAAGCCTGTGTCTCTACATTTTCTATCCAAAGTCGCTTAGTTTTCCGACAAAAGCCTGGAAGAGGCTGTCGACAGATGTGGCTGGAGGCATGGTGGGGGGTAACCGCGGCGACCGTGAGTTGACGGTATTACACGACAGATCTGTCATAACCGTCAAACTCTCGATGGGCATATCTTGCACTTGCGCAAAAAGTAATTGAACGTCCTGTTGTAACTAATGTAACTACAGTTCCCTAACGAATGCATCGTCATGTGGGATGTTGCCCGTTTCGTTACACATGAAACTCTAAAGCTATGAAGGCTTATGGTCCCCCAAATCATATCCTAGAGAACGCGTCGGATATGCTTTCTTTTAGAGCTTTCTGTGCGTTCTAGTATAGCGTCGGGTAAGGCTTTTAGAGGCCCATCTTCGGGAGGGTCTAAATTTGCGTCTAAACCCTAGGCTACTAGGTGTTCTGGCAACAAAGAAACGACATGGTAGAACTTGGTCTTTGGATACTTGATATTCCCAGTCGCACACTGTGATTCGAGGACTGAAAACCACGCCCAAAGGTTAGATGCCCAAACTACAGGAGGTTGAAAGTGCAAACCACTAGGAGATCAGGCTTGTCAGATAAATCTAGTTAATCCATGACGAAAAACACTGAATAATCGTATAAGAAATATACAATCCCAAATGTTCTATCAAAAAATGTAGAGTTTAACTCGCAATATCGGTAAAGTAAAAATACCAAACAAATCAATAAACTTTTCTAAACGAATATATAATGGTTCAAAAATTCTAAAAATATGAATGGACTCGCCAAAATCTGGTGATTTCCAAAACTAACTGAGGAAATTTTATGCCACCAATTTAGTAACTTGGCGGTGGCTGATGTTCGTCAGAACCTGTCACTAATATCTGCTTACGTCGTTTCTGGATATCCGTCTCAGGAGGAAACGGAAACAAAGATTGTGGATTGTAGAAATGATATATCCTGAAACTTTTCAAATGTTGGAAGTAATTTTGGCTAGGCTTAGGCTGTTATTTTAGTAACGGCAGTGGAAACCTGACAGTAGATCTGATCAATGCGATGTGTGATAAAGAGCTCACCGTGAGGAATTGTGTCGGTGCGGTCTTTTCGAGCTCATTAAAAGCACGGTAACAGTTAAAGCAAAACGTGATCCTGGAAATGTCCAAGCTGGTATATCATGTCCAGCTGGAATGAATCTATAAGAGAACTTAGAGAGAAGCAAGAGTCAAGAAGAGAAAACTGCCGTTTCCAAACTACCGGTTGAAGAGCCGCTAGAAACCAAACCCCTACCGCTCCTCGCGGCGATGATATCACTTCAGGAATGAGAGTTCTTGAACTACAGATGCAGTATTTAGGTTCTCCATCTTTCCCGCTCACTGTCATTAAACCACAACCGAAATCAATGTTGCTCGACCTCATAGATCCCTACAACCCACCCATCAGCCAGCTGCAGTCCACAACGTTGCTGGTATGAACAACAGTTTGATTCCATAGCCAAGAATTTCAACCCACGCTTTTTGTTCAACTCACAGGGAAACCACAACGCCCGACAGTATTGACAGCGCCTGTTTCCGGCATCCTCTTCGGTCTTCTACTACTCATCACAGATCAAACCGCTGGTATCCGATTTTTGACTGATTCCGGTGTCGAACTGAGTCTA